ATATGAGTCTTAAAAAATTGAATTTTTAACATGAAAAGTATAGGAAAAGCCCTCGGTTTACAAAAAAAAAAAAAAAAAAAAGATTTGCCAGTAGTGCAAACAACTATTTGGGAGTATCCTATAGACAACGTTCTGGGATTTTTAAATATTCAATCAGAATGTAGTGGGTGATAATAATTCAGTATGCAGATACTGCAACCCACTCAAAAATTTTTAACTGTAGAAACAAGAGCTATGATAATAGATGATACTAACTACAATTGCCTATAGAATAGCTATAAAAATATGTTTAAGAAATTGCGTATTAATGTAAATTTGGAAGACAAAATAAGTTGGTTAATCTCTTCAATTATTGCTATCACGTCTGAATGGAAACAATTTTTATTTTTTATTTTTCCCTTTGATTTTCAGCTACAATAACAAGTGTAATTTACAATTGTTTTTTTGCACATTTTTATAGCTACTTAACAGATAGTTCTATGTGTTATTATATTACTAAAAATTACAAAAAATTTTCAAAAAATTTAAATTCCAAAAAAAGGCCAGAGCAAGTGTTTGTCCTGACATTTTTGGAAATGGTAGCACCTTAAAAATTTGGGAAGTAAGACCAAGTATATACTTATCAAATCAAACAGAAACACGTTTTAGATTATGAAGGAATGTTTCAATAAAAATGATACATTTACATATTATATTTTTTCGGTGTCGTAATTTCGGTGATTCATGTACCCCCCCCCCCAACTATAATCGTTGACATACTTATGTCTAGTAGTACTATTTAAAAACAATTTCAGGAGTCGAAACGATATCCACAAAAGACACAATAAAAGAACGTCCCTCCTGCAACTGCAGCGTAACAACATCCTCAAGAAAAGTCGATGCGTATCTTTCGCCCTGCTGGTGCACCACTAAAGTTATCCGTCCATCCTATACCTGATGTGTCCACGCTCGAGGGACCGCCGTCGTCTCGGTTCGCCGCGATTCCCGGACGACTCGAGCCTCGCCGGGCTGTACGTACCGTTACATCAGACACGAACAAAGAGAAATTAATTATATGTGTACAAGAGTATTGCACCCTAATTAAGGTTTTTTTTTTTATTTTTATTTTTGACCTCGGTTTGTTTCACAAAGAGAGGGAGGAATAATCCTCTTTTCACGTCAAGCGTGACTTTGCGCGCTTGTCGAGCCAAACGCGAAGTGTTTGCTGAGAGATCACTAGACCACAAGTGCGTGTTGAAATGAATGAGATAATCGACGAATTAGTTGCTGCTTAAATAGTCTCGTGTACATATAATGCAAGAGGCAAACTTAAAATTTTCCCCTCGAACAAAATATTTTTTTTTTTTTTTTTTTAATTATTTCGCTTGATAAACATCTTGACTACGAGGCAGTGTATGACTTTCTGTACATGTTATTTGCGTACACAAATTTTTTCGTTCAATTTTTTCTTTTAATACTTGGAGTATCCTGAAGTTAGGAAAACCATAGATAATGTACAGATATGAAATAAATAAATATAAAAGTATAGTTTCAAGAAAAAAAAAATTGAAAAATCAAGATGTTTATACAATAAATCCCAACAGCAAGTTTTTCCTTGCAAACATACAGTTAGAGGAAAAAAAAAAAAATCCAGTCTAGACGATTCCACTAAGAGAATCAGAAGAAATAGCTTCTAATCGTTTTCGCAACGACCGAGCGTTCGTGAAAACAACTGTAAAGCCGAGACAACGACGGCCGAGCGTAGGCGGAGCGGCAGAAAAGGACGAAGCGATGTTGTTCCGATGTGTGCACATACGAGCCGGAAGGTGATAATATTATGAATTATGCTGCCAAATGTTTTTTCGGGTTGTAATTGTGTCAGATGGATGAATGGAGGGATTTTTTTTTATGAGGTCTCGGAGGGGTGAGGTTGATTGTTACTAAGAGTTTTTGGTTTTTTTGCCTTCCATTGAGATGTACCAACAAACTTTTTGATCTTAAATGTGGGAATAAGTGGAATGGTACTAATTTGAAGTGAATTGCCTTTTATCGCACGAGTGAAAAAAATTATTGTTTTATTCAGTAAATTAAATAATTCTACTTCTTTTGTGTTTTCACTGGCTTTGCAGAAAGAATCGCATATTTATTCAAATTAGGAGTTTACGCTGGTACGCATTTGATTTTCTTCAAGTAAATATTTTTCGTTTTCTGTATTAACAATATTTATTACAACATTTTTCCAAAAACTTTTTTAGTTAGGGTCAAAAACTAGAAAAAAAAAAAAAAATACATTTTGAATTGCTTTTATGTACCGATTCTGAACTTACAACATTCTGATATGTATTTTGAATTAAATTATTCTACTTGATGAACATTAAATAAAGAAAAAAAAAATCTGTCATAAACCCAAATCATTACTTTTCCAGTTTTGCAAAAATTTACAAAAAAACTTTCAAAATATTTAACAAAAATATTCAAAACAGATTGACTTATCTTTGCGGAAAAAAATAAAGATACCATCTTACGCGTAAATACACTAGTTTTTATTTAAACATTGTTTTTAATTTATAGTAAATATATAATTTAGCTAATAGTATTTGTTTGATAATTAAATTTATTCTCTAAAAATGTGACGCACCATTTTTCGCTAGAAAGGTTTTTATCTAGAATTACGTTAGATTTTTTTTCAGCAAAACCCGTGCAGTAAATTTTCGAAAAAAAAAACATCATTTCCAAATCTTTGAAATAATCAACCCCAACTCCGGATATTCTTCTCATTGCATCTTATTAATTTTTAAAGAAATACTAGCATCACTCATTAATAGAGAATATCGTACTGGCAGTCGAATAAATATTATTTTCCATTCATTACACACCAAAACCACCCTCAGCTTTTTCGAGTTAATTAAATTAAAAATAAAAAGTCACGAAAATGTGTTCCTCCGACACGAGTACCTCATTAACCAACGAGGCGCGTATTACGCGTGATTAAAATCCATCCCCGTTTTTCCAAGCTCCCATCTGTCACTGAATTAAAATAAAGTTTGTTAATCCGAGAAAATCCGCGGTGGGCTCGTTATTGCGCGTCAAAAAACGTCATCCTGACACACGTCCACGCGGCAACGAAACAACACCGGACACGTACCGTAGGTAATAATTTAAATCGCTGATGCGAAAGTGAGGTGGTCACGCCAATTACCCGCAACTAAGGAAACACGTGCGTAGGTGTGTGTATACGAAACGCGCGCAGTTAATCACCAATTATCCTACACCAAAAGTTTGACCTTTCGAGCTTTCTTTCCACATTTTTTTTCTGTCCTCAACTTAAAGTTTCCATTGCAACCTCAACTTCATTGATATGAAAGGCAGTGCAATTCGATGTAAAATGTTTTTTTTTTTTTTTTTTTTTTTTTTTTTTTTTTTTTTTTATTAGAGAAAAGGACTCGACGATACATACGCTCGACGAAATTTGCCAACGACTGCAACGCAGCGGTTCTCCTCACCTGCAGATACGTGCCACAGTTTCACCGGTGTTTAAAATAGACATCGGTGTCCCGAAATATTTGATGCGATGGCTTTCACGTGTCCCGAGAAAAAACAACGGGCGCAGCGAAAGCCGCGGGTGACCAGCTTAATTATCGTCAGCCGAGCTTTCATGCGCGAGCTTTTGCGGCTCTTTTGTCTCTTTGGCTGCTCGACTATGGGGATTATACGTATATACGTGGATTTTGTACATTTTCGAAAATCCGTATGCTTAGTGTTGCGCGTGTGTGTCACGAAGCGTTATATTACGGGGACGCTTGTTGAACTATGTCTGGGGATTTGTATAATTTTAGAGGAATTAATACTTTTTAGGTTTTTTAAGAAATCCATACAATTTTTATAACCTATATCGAACTGAATTCATTGGAATTTATAAATATTAAACAAATCAAGTGCACGACACGATATGGCTAATATAAAAATATTGATCATCACAATTATGTGTATGAAATGGCTTGAAAAATGGATTGCTAACTGTTTTCGTTTGAAACTTTCAAGTATGGGTTTTATATATCAGTAATTTGAATGATAAAAAAAATTATATCTTACTCGTGATGGAGCTCGTTTGTTTATTGACTTTAACTACGTAGTTTTTTTAGAGTGGGTAAATTGATGTATACGTAACGTAATAACAATCTAATAAAAAATGACATAATAGTTGTTAATCTTTTCTTTACATCATTTAAATGCAAACTTTTCAATCATAATTAGCGGATTCTACTATTATAGACAGACTTGTCTATGATTATAATTATTTTATGTACATTTAAGTATTAAAAAACAATTTTTTTGGTTCCAAGCAAAGTACATAGTTTTTGTTAAAATTTTTTTGAAAATGTCACTACTCAAAATATAATGTTGGGGAAAACATTTTTTTGCAAATACGTGTAATACGTTTCAGATATTACATTTGATAGCAAAGTATTTCGAATAAAGATCTAAATAATTTTTTAAAATATTCTAACGATTTTTTTTGTCTGAATTGTTTTTTCTTCTAAATTTTAATGCATTGTTTTCGCTTAGAAAAATTCTGTTATGCACCGTTTTGTGAGTAGTAATTAAAAAAAAATTTTTCTTTAGCATAAATAATGCGTTACACTGTTAACAAAAAGTCATATTTTTAAAAAAATTTGAAAAAGTATCCGTTCTCAAGTCTGAAAAATTACGTTGGATCCAATATTAGAGATAGTAATTGCAATCGAAATATCACACGAGCCAATTCATAAATACAAAAAGAAATTTTCAAAAACCCAAAACCAGCCCCCCTTAGGAGCCGATCGAAGGATATACCCCCCGCGACCCCCATCCCACGCAAAAAGCCACTCCTAATATTATAACCCGCGCCCCCTCTCTCTTTCCCGTATTTCTGGAAATTGGACCGAACGTAACGTGGGGGAGGGGGGTCACGCACACAGCCCGCAGCCGCGCTCAGTCGCTCTCGCACGGACCCGGCCGAACTTTCGTGCTTTTCAGCTACGAAACTCCCGACGCTTTCAAAGCGTCACCCGCGCAAGTGATCTGGTTGGAGGGTAAATTATAACCTTTTTCCCCCCGAAACCGAAAAGTACCCGTGTAAACTATTTTTTTTTTTTTTTTTCAAATCGTACTTTAGCGCATTCGTACAGTACAAACGCATCTATGGATCCGTGAAAGCCGAAACGCGTGTGTACGTGTTGTATACGTTTTGGATTTATTAATACGCGCCCGCGTCCGTTTGGATTCCGCGAAAACTCTGACGCAAGAAGACGTCGAGAGTATGTGTTCTAAGACACGGGCTCTAGGGACAAACAAGATTTAGCAGAACGAGGCGTACCGATCTTTCATTTTCCGTTGGAACGTTGCATTCGGTCGCGAGTCAAATTTACCGTTACATAACGTACCCCCTCCAACCAGTTCGCTTTCGATCGTGTGTATACACTCGATGGTTTTCGAAGGGTTGCGGTTTTTAGTGGCATGGAAATGCACTGGTTCGCCCAATAGTGCGTGCAAACGAAAAAGCTCAGCTTCAGCGATGGACGGCGACGACGAGGCAAGCCGATAATACATAGTGTACAGTGTGCAGAGACAATAAAAAAAAAAACTTAGAACCGATCGACAAAGTTGGTGGGTGTGTTTATAAGTAACGAAGAACAAAGAAAAAAAAAAGATGGCGACGGAAGTATTCCAGGATTGGGACAACAAGTCTCTGAGCTCGATTTCGCGGAAGTCGTCGACTACAACGACGACGACGACGCGCAAGAGTACGAAGACGACCAGCAAGACCACGAGGGTCTACGACGACGAGGTAACCGGCTGGTGTTGCATTTGAATTTTTTTTTTTTTTTTTTTGGAAAACTCAACAAAATTCAACCAACTCCTTGAGGGATTAATGTTTACGAAAACATAAAAGCGGCACTGCTCCAAGCCGAAACACGCTCAGTGCGCGAGTTAGCTTTATTTATGCAATAATAAACGTCGTAGGTTTATCGGGCGGGAGCTACTTAAAAATGACAAATTTCAAAGTACCCCTGCCAAAGTGTATCCCTCGGTAGGGGCGAAAAAAAAAAAAAAGAGTGCAAATACCAGTAAAGCCGAAAATAAAAGCACGCGCGCGCGTTTATTAAATTTAAACTCTCATTAAGAGCTTCCTCTCCATTCCGGCGTGTTGTGTGTAGGTGTATATATATATATCACGAGAGATTGTGATGTTTTTCTGCGATCCTTTATCTCTTTTAGGACAACTGCCAGGTGTGTGTACGACACGATGCGGGTCTCGGGTGGTAAAAGTGTCGCGAAGGTTGTAGGTGTGTGGATTTTTTTTTTTTTTTTTTTTTTTTTTTTTTTTTTTTTTAAACTACAGTGAGTTATGGGTGCAAATGTGCGATGCGTGACACCTGCCGTGGGCCAAGGTATTCGTCAGTGGAGCTGTTCGTCGAGCGCGATTTGGCAGCTCGGTTTAATTTTTTGGCTGCGGGTGGAGATGTTTTTTGTTTGCGGAGGTCGAGTTTTGAAGGATCAATAATTTTCCGGGGGACTTTGTGTACGATGGAAACGATTCGTGGTATGGTCTAGAACATATGGTTTTTCTGTGAAAATAACAAACGAGAATACATTATCACTCCGGCAATTATGAAAAATCTACATCTTTAATTACTGCACTGAGAGATAAATGTAATAAAAATTATAGAGAAATTCCAGCAAAAATTACCATGTTGCACTTTAAATTGGATGCAAGCTGGCAAAAAAGGAAAAAGTTATTATTTTTAACAGTAAAGATTACTGTTTTAAAAGTTAAAACTATGGCTTGAATAGTAAAAATGATGGTTAGAACAGTAAAAATTTCGATGCTAGAAAGTAAAATTTATTAACCGATCTATTTTTACTGCACTGACCATCATTTTTACTATTCAAACCATAATTTTAACTGCTAAGTCAATAATTTTTGCTGGAATTTCTCTATGATTTTTATTATATTTTTCTCACAGTGTAGTAATTAAAGATGTTTTTTTTTTTTTGTACTAACTAAATTTTCACGGAATTCTGAAATTTTTACATTATCATCAGCTGAAATGAGGCTATGAGAAACCCTTGGAGGCATCTGAACTTTCACCTATTCTGTTTTCATATGATATTTCGTTAGAATGTTGATGAAATTATTTTGTCTTATAAAAAAAATGGTACATTTGTTCAACAATACATATAACACAATAAAAAATGATTTCTGACGTTTGAATCCTTTGTTTCGTGGATCACTTCGAGCGATGCGCAATCGCATGCACTGTGGCACTCGGTAAATAAATACAAAAAAAACTTATTATTATTAGTAACTTTTTTTCGCACTACTTGCAATAATGTTGTAATATACATACTCTAGAAAATCATATTGTTACAGATTCAGGATATTTTTTTCATCTGTATACTGTACACTGATCATCGACTTTTTTTATGTAGTTCATTTATCCAGTTTCGTTTTGTGAACAACTTTCCTTCCGAACAATAACCTTTATTTTTTCAGTGTAAAATTTATTACGCAAAATAAATTTGGCTCTAAAGTGCCGGTGCAACTTTTTAGATTCAATTTTCATCACATGATAAACACACATACATATTTACGATCTTGACAGTGGAGTTGTTTTTTTAGATTCCTAGTTATTTTTATTCTACACGTGTTACAGGGTACAAAATATTGTGTTTCGCAGGAATTAATTTCTATTTATAAGCTCTGCCAAAAGTGACAAGCGCTTTTCTAGTTTGATTATTATTTCTGCCATGAAAAAGCTATTCTGATATATGGGGTTTGATAATTAACATCGTTTATATACTAAGTATAATGTTTACGGTAATTACGTAGCGAAATTACGATAGTGCTGTTACGCCGTGCACATACAGAAAATTTTTTAAGTAAAAATACAAACAAATATTAAACGTTTAAAATTGGGATTATAATTATTATTACTGCGGTATAGATTCTTAACTTTAATGTAACTACACGGGAAAAGTTACTGCAGTTATTTTTTCCACGTAGTGATTGGAAGTTAAAATGATTATTTTACAATTTGTATGACGAAACAATGTACAACGTTGTTTTCCCTTTTATAATTAGAAATTTATTCTTCTTATACATTTTACAATCTCTATTTCGTAAAATGTTTTTTAGTAATTGATCAATTCCTTGCGAAAATCAAAACACACACTCACATAAAAAATATCTAGTAAACTCAATTAACAGGACACACGAGTAAAAATAATTTTTTTTAATGGTTAAATTTTATCAAAAAATCATGTCATAAAAAAAATAATTTTTTAGTAAATAAATTTATTGAACTTTGTACACATACGCAATTTTTTCATGTTTAAAAAATTTACGGAAATCCAAAATTGTACTTCAAAATATATGCGCAAACGCTCGCAAATCTTGAAAAGAGTCGAGACGGTCACGTACTTGCTGATGTAATGGATTTTAACTTTGCATAGAGATGGTAATGTGTGATTTTTTTTTTTTTTTTTTTTTTTTTTTTTTTTTTTTTTTTTTTTTTTT